ATTGTATTTTATCAATCTGTGACATAGGTTTTATACATAGTAACATATAAATTTTGATAAATTTTGTAAATTCTATGTGGGCAGAACGTGGGATGATAATGTGCACGTCTCTATTATTTATTTTAGTTTTTTTTGTATATATTTTTTTATGACAAAATTATCCATGCGAATTTTGTTCTATTATTTTCAGTAAGGTTTGAATTTTTTTGTTTTAGGGACTTTTATGTCCAAATTGTTTTGGTGAAGCCTTGAGACACAAAAACTCACTTCTGATGTTCTAATATTAGAAATGACTATTTACACTAAAAGGGAAATGATGGATTTAGTCTCAAAATGAGTTAACAATAATATGGTTTAAATTCATATTTGACAAGAATCGAGTCTAAAACCTCGCACTTACAAGTAAAGAAGAATATTAGTAAACCGTAGTAAGTGGTATGTATCCAATTATTAAAACAAAAGAAGGAAAATAGTAACGACAATTTGTACAGAGATACATACAGAGACGTTATTTGTCCAAACAAATAAACCTCTAATCACAGACATTCTTACTGAAGCATCTTTAATTCCCTACACCCTTCACTTCCATATCCAACAAATACTCGCGCTTCCCCATAAGCTTATTTTCATTTAAGCCCCAATACTTCAACATTATTACAAAATCATCACAACTCGCTCCACGTTTCACGTCCACAGAGCGAGTACATTGTACCTCGCACTCGATCGAGTACCTTCACACCCAAAACGCACCCCGTCTGGCGAGGCGTATCTGTTTCCCTTTCCCTCGTTTTGTTTGTTCAAAATTCAAAAACGACCCATCAACTCCAATTCGTCACTCTCTCTCTCTCTCTCTCTCTCTCTCCCCTGAATCAATAATTCACCTAAAAAAGAAGAACCAGGAACAAGCTAGGGTTTTGGATTCTCCCCTTTTTTCCCCATTTATTTTACGAAATCGATGTTATGCTCGCTGTTGAAGCGCGGAATAGGGCATTTGTGCAGATACGCGTTGAGGTTCCTTGACAGGTCGATTTCGCGAGCTATGGGCTGCTTCTTCGGTTGCTTTCGGGTCAAGGACGATCGCCACCTTCGCTGTCGGCCTCACCTTGTTTCTCAGTCCTCTCGTAACCCCCAGACGGTAAGGTTTCCGTTTGGTTCCCGAGAAAGTCCGGGAAAATGTTTTTCTTTTCACTGGCCATTTTTACTCTGCTGCGAATTACCAGTGTTTCTGTGAAAATTTGAGAAATTAGGGTCAATTGAGTGTTAAAGTACTAATCTTGATCTTGAATTTAGCCTAAGATTACAGATTTTAGATTTTTTGTAGTTTCAATTTTGATCTGGGTGCTGCCGGTATCATTGAAATTGGAATTAAAAAAAAAAGCTCTCTTCTAAAAAGCCCTGAATTCGTTCTGGTTTTTCCGCTGCCCTATGTGGCGGCACCTCTTCTTTTTCCAACTTCTTTTATGGCTCTTCCATCCACAGTGGTGATGGACTTTCCACCCTATATGGTGGTTCTCTTCTTTCTTTATCCCTGTGTAAATTTATCCTCCCACTTCAATCACTTCCTCCTTCATCTCTTCCTCCCATCTTTCCATTTCCCACCTCCTGATTCAGCTTTTGCGCCCTCTATTTTCCCCAAATCAATAATCCAACAATGAAATGTTGCTTATCGTTATTTCAATTTCATTTTCTCAGCTGCCAAACAGTAGATTAGTGGGTTGTGTATAATTTTACACTGATTTCTTGTTTTTCTGTTTCCTTTATTTTATCAGGAAGTTGTGATATCTCAAAACCGTTTGTCTTCTCTATTTTCAGCTGAAGGTAGATTATCTTTAGTCCATGCACATAAACTAATTTATTCGATCTGAATCTATATATCTCGTTGCTGATTTTATTTTTTCTGGTCTGATTTGTATATAACTCTCAAAGAGAAAGAAGGTTCTCCAAGCAAAGATTGGGAAAGTGGTTCTTATGGGACTCCACAAATTGACAAGGAGCTCAGGAAGGAGGTACGTTTTCCCTTGTGAGCTAGCGGATTCAAAGTTTAATGTAGGTAATATATTAAGTATAACAGTTCAGATTAAATTATTTTCGATGCGTAGTGCTCGGAAATTACATAATTCAAATGCCCATTTTTGCCAATCAATTTTCTAGGTGGTTTCAAATGTTTTAACCTTACCGTCCTTATCTCAATCGTTTGAAGTGAAATAAGGCTACATTGTTGTCATGTACTCCAATTTATACTCTGAAACAAAGACTTTGTTTTCCAGTACATGGTGTTTAATTGGAGCAACACGCTTCAGTTCCAAAGTGTTGCTTCACAAGTTAGAACTTGTGGAAGTCAGTGGAGCTTTGACTCCCGTCTTGTGCAGTATGTTTAAGTAATGTCATTGTTTCTAGGTTACACTGTTTTGGATACATTTCTAGATTAAGTCTTTAGTTATATGAATTTTGCGTACTGCCAAAAAGATAATGCTTTTACTTATGCACTGCACCTTATTCTGCAGGCCAAGTTTCTTAAAGCTTGTGGTACCATAGCCGAAACACCAGCTGAAATTCGTAAAGTGTCTTCAACGTTGAATGGCTCACCCCATCGTGATAGAGATTCAGAGCCTCCAAAATTCAACTCACAGCTTCCAAAGACATCCATTAAAAATCTTCAGCAAGAGTTGGATCAACCAGATCAGCCCCCTACGCCTATGAAGTTCAATGAAGAGTGGGGAAAGGGTTCAGGTCCTTCTGAGCATACGCCTAGCAGGTTCTACTTATAACTGTTTTGAATGCTTGAGCATTAGTACATTTGCTGCTTAAAGATGGGATGGGAGGTTTGCTAAACCAGAATTTCACTCTGTATTATTATTAGCAATGAAGTTCTTTTTGGCCATCTCATTGTTTTTTAGGAGAGAAAAATTGGTCTTTTTTTTGTTGGTGTGCTGCCTGGACTTTGAGGAACTATTTAGTACAAGTAAATATAACTGACATTTTCCCAATTTCATTTTGTATCTATAGTTTTGTATCGAACCAACAGAATAATGGTAGGACCACAATCAGCTCTTCTGGAGGCAGTGGAATAGGTACTGATTCAACAGTCAAGAGTCATACTAATCGGACTGAGAATATTACAACTCCAGATGTCCAGTTCAGGGGCAAGGCTGTTCGCTTTGATTGCAATAATGATACAAATTCCTCCAGAGGTTCTTCATCCGAAAATTATAACCAGAGTTCAAAAGTATGTGAAACTCCAGGAAAACAGAGCATATCAAAGCCTTCAGTTTATCCAACCCCACTAACCCTTTCTGATGAGATGCAGACACCAGGAACTGTTTTCCCTGCAAACCTGGAAAACTTTCCAAATGGAAAGGCTCGAATCAGGTCCCAGTACGTGTATTCAGTGCAAAACCCTGGAGACGGCATCTCTCAACAGAATGTACTGAAAGACGAAGATCCTAACTCACATGGACTTTCTGTTGAGCAAAGAGAATCTCTTAACCACTGGGGAAATGCAACCCCTATATCAGAAGAGGGGGCGAAACAAATTTCATCCGGACAAGAGGTCAATGTGGAATCAAGTTTGTCCACCTGGTTGAAGCCAGTAACTCAAGATAACAACAATCAGTTTGGTAATGTTCCCGGCCGAACTCGTCATTTTGGAAGAACTCCTGGGGACAGGCCTATCATTGGGCTTGTTGCTACTCACTGGAACGAAGATGAGCCTACTCGTGTCTCACCCAAGTGGTGGGATGGGAACGGAATCCCAAACTCAACAAACAAATACAAGGAGGTTTGTTTGACTGCCTTCTACTTCTTTTTTCAGCCTTGGATCTTTAAAGCAGTGTGTGAAGGTAGATTTTGAATTTGCAGGATCAGAAAGTGAGTTGGCACGCTACTCCATTTGAAGAAAGATTGGAAAAGGCATTGTCCGAAGAGAGTTTCATCTCTCAGAGGTAGGCATTGCAATCTGTTTTCACAATGTTCTTCACTGCTAAAGAAGCATTGATTTTCCTTGACAGAAAATCTGACAATCAACTCTATTTGGTTTTGCAGAAAAAATATTGAGGGGAAGCCGATTGTTTTTGACGAGAATGATGAGAGCGATACAGCCCTTTCTCAGTTGCAATCTTCATCGCAGCCGAAATCAGTGGTTTCGTTCTGATGACAGTGGTGGTGTTATCCCATTTTGTTGCTTGCTCCACAAGATATTTGTTGTTGGTGAGAAAAATGAGCTCTTTAGAAAAGCCCTAGATTTGAAGTTTGTTGGATATATGGTGAAATTGGTTATTGGTTTTTGCATCAAAAAGCCAATGAAGTGGATTCTGGAAAGTTTTATTACTGTGTCAATATAGTCATGCTATGGCAGCATACTGAGCTGCTTATAATGTGTACAGAGGTATTGGAATTTTTCTCTCAAAGTTCTTTGTGAGGTTCTTAATTTTCCGATGTGGGACTTTAACTTCTTGGCACATGACAAAACTAATTGCTCGTTAATATGGTTTGGGTGTTTACAGACCATATCAACGGAAAGAGCGATTTTCTCTTGCAACCATTTCACCACATATTAAAGATTTATTGGACGGTTTCACTTTCGAAACACATGACAATTATGAATTGGTCCAGGAATGCCATTGAAATTAAAAAAAACATGATTGTAAGAGAGAATCTCTACTGAAAGAGAAGTTTCTTACATCAGAATGCCAGTCTGACAGTATCAAAAGATAATTGAGCACTACGACATGCTTTAAGATATTTGTCAGCATAATAGTTCTTTATATGTACAAAGATGCCACAATTTCAAGAAATTTGATTTAATTTTCAAGTTTACGCAACTAATTTCAAACCTACCTAGTAGCCACCTACCTTTAGTAGTTTTATAATTTGATACTCCCCCTTGTGCTAAGCTAAGAGTTTATCAAAGTAAAAGAACTGGAGTCTATATAAGAACTGGACACAAAGTATGTTCTGCACAGACGAAATTCTCGGTTTAGCAATTTTCAACAACATTTGCAATGGTGGTAAAGGTGTATGGCCCTTTCTACGCTTTGCCGAAGGGGGTGCTAGTGTGCCTTGTTGAGAAGGAGATTGAATTTGAGACCAGCCCCATTGATCTCTTCAAGGGTGAACACAAAACTCCTGAGTTTCTCAAACTACAGGTTAGCTCTAGCTATTTAATCAATTTTTCATTGTTATTTCCTTGTCGTAATCTCTTTCGGAATTATGTACATTGATCTTGTCTGCATTGCTTTGTCTTTGTTTGTGGCCCTTTGGACAAGTTCCTGTCATACAAGATGGGGATTATACTTTATATGGTATATGCTGGTTTTAAATTGCCAGGGTTATGTAGTACTCAACCCAGTAATTATGTTTTATGTATTTAGTTTGCTTAATCTACAAAGTTTGATCACTAATTACATCCTGATATATAAAATTTGGACGTGATTTTAAATATGTGTGAAGCATCAAATAAACATTTGAATGTTTGTGCAGCAAGAAATTTTGTGCAAATTGTTTGATGAAAACCTTGTTCTCCTTTTTCTTTTCTGCATAAATATAATGATCTAACAAGTTCTGCGATAAAACGGGTCAAATTTGGTCTGCAGAATCACGCGCAATCATAAGGTACTACGCAGAAAAATACAGCTCACAAGGGACTGATTTACTTGGAAAGACGATTGAGGAAAGAGGCCTTGTGGAACAGTGGCTAGAGGTTGAAGCAAGCAACTATCACCCGCCACTCGACAACTTAGTGATCAACATTTTGTTTGCCTCGGCATTGGGATTTCCTTCAGACCCGAAGATAATTCAGGAGAGTGAAGAGAAGCTTGGGAAGGTGTTGGACATTTACGAGGATAGGCTGTCGAAGAGCAAGTACTTGGCCGGTGATTTTTTCAGCCTTGCTGATCTTAGCCACCTTCCGTTCACCCACTACTTGGCAAATAGTATGGGGAAGGAGTATATGATAAGGGACAGAAAGCATGTCTCTGCTTGGTGGGATGATATTAGCAGCCGAACATCTTGGAAGAAGGTTCTCCAGTTTGGTGCTCCGTTTTAAGGTATTCGAAGAACTTGTTGTATGTAACGAGTGTATACAATGTTTGTCTCATAATATTGTCACGTTAAGAATATGATGTAAGAAGTTATTATGAGATGAACGTTGAATTCACTTATTAAAGGGCCTGGTGAAAATAAATAATTGAAAGTACTGGTGGGAATAGTGTAATCTGCCCCTTGTAAATTGCTTCAACACATAATAAAGCATTTCTGCTGGATGCGTAACTAATGATTTGAATCGATTTATGGATCATGAATGCCTATCACTTAAGCTGAATTTGGGAACTTTTTATAAAGTTGGTGGCCTATTGAGGACTCTGCCAATTTGGGCATAGGGTGGTTTGTCTTTAGGGATATCCTATTCCCGAACTGGCAATTGTTTCACGAGCTTCTTTATAATAAATCGAGCAAATGTACAAAGGATTTCTAGGAGTGATTTGAACTCGGAATTTCTGTCTATGATCATTTGACCTATCGGTATTTAGTGTCTACTTTGGCGGGGGTGATTCTAGATCAAATTTCATGAATATCGGTTGTTGAGTCAAAAGACAAGAAATTGAGTTCAATATCAGAGTGCGCTATAAAGAAGAAAGCTGTTTAGTTGGATCATATGAATACAAAAGAGGGCAGATTGATTTCCACGACTTCAATGCATTTCACATGCTTTCTCATCACATTTGTCTCCTTTTTACTCGTTTTTGTCATGACCTCCATTTCATTATACGCCACATACATTGTACGTAATTGTCATTCCCCTGCTACCTTTAGGAAGCTACAAATGGATGGATGTATGCATATGATGTGAGCAGTCCCACCTACCCTCCAGTCTCCACTCCAATTTTAACTTCTTCCACTCCAATTGTTGGCGTGTCATTAGTACCACATCACGCCTTACCTATATAATAATAAGTCGAGAACCAGAAGCTGGAGTTTGCAGAATATCACAAGAATGGTGGTGAAAGTGTATGGCCCTCTGTACGCCTCCCCAAAGCGTGTGCTGGTATGCCTTGTTGAGAAAGAGGTGGACTTTGAGACAGTCCCCATTGATCTCCTCAAGGGAGAGCACAAACACCCCGACTTCCTCAAATTACAGGTTAGCTAATTAATCACCTCTTAATCCAATTGTTTGTGATTGTTTTACTCTTAAACACTCTGAAAATTATATTTTCTTTAAATGCAGCCATTTGGATCCGTTCCTCTCATTCAAGATGGGGATTATACTCTATATGGTATGCTCTGCTTTCTTGCTAGCTCATGATTTTTTTTTTATTGTTTTATGTTGAGAAAGAGGCGAATGCTTTTAACCAACTAAGCGGAACAAAATTTATCATCTTTTAAGACTTCCATTTTGTGGGTTTACTCAGTTCTTCATTTGAAACTGTATGGAGCATCAGATTGCCATAGGAATGTCTGTGAAGCTAGTTATTAAATTTTGTTTGACAATACACTTGCTCACTGGTTTCTTAACACCAATGATTTAACAAGTTCTTGTTAAAGAATGTAAAGTTGGACATCGGAAACCTGAAAAAATAAAATACAACACATAGTTAGTAATTCCACTACTAATAGCACCAAGGGCTTTTGAGATAGAACCCCGCTGGTCCGTCTCTATGAAATCTTACCAGTTCTTTGATAAAATCGTCTTTGATCGCAGAATCCCGCGCAATCATAAAGATACTGCGCAGAAAAATACAAGTCCCAAGGGACTAATTTGCTGGGTAATACAATTGAGGAAAGAGGGCTTGTGGAACAATGGCTGGAAGTTGAAGCACAAAACTTCCACCCACCAATCAACAACTTGGTGCTTCACATTCTGTTTGCCTCAGTTTTGGGTTTTCCTTCAGACCGCAAGATCATTCAAGAGAGCGAGGAAAAGCTGGGAAAAGTGCTGGACATTTACGAGGAGCGGCTGTCGAAGAGCAAGTACTTGGCCGGTGATTTCTTCAGCCTTGCTGATCTTAGCCACCTTCCATTCACTCACTACTTGGTGGCTAATATGGGAAAGGAGTATATGATAAGGGATAGAAAGCATGTCTCTGCTTGGTGGGATGACATTAGCAACAGACCATCTTGGAAAAGAGTCCTCCAGTTTGGTGCCCCATTTTAACGTTGATGTACCTATGTAAGAAGTTTTGGCGTACAACGGTTTACACAACGTGTTTTGAAGTAGTAATGATGTGTTGTGTGAGATGTTATTGCGAGAGGAGCGTTATATTCGCTTTTGTAGTTTATAATAACCTTTGTACCTTGGGGTTGGGTAAAATAAATAATAGTGCTTGTTGGAATAATGTGCTATCTTCTTTATCCTTTGCTTTATTAAGTCTTAGCTGATAAAGAGTCTTTGATTCTTTTCTGAAAGAGATCACTTCATCAGCTTTTTTAGTGAAATGAGGCGCTCTATGATCAACTACTCCCAAGTTTCATTCAAAGTTCGGCACGTAGACGGCCGAACCATTTCACAATTAAGACACTCATCTCTTTTGAGTATCTATGTTGATTTCAATTAGGCAGACCTATATTCTCGTAAATATAGTTGATATTGCCGAACCTGGTACAAAAGATCTAGAACTTCATAGGATTTGCATAACCTGAGGCCATGAGGGTTCAATCCTTTGCTTAAGTCGCTCGGTTCAAAAGTCAATAACCCATATCACCAGATCACCACACAAGATTATTCGCCTCATTGAGAGCGATATAGTATTAATTCATGTGCTATAATGTTGATAGATAATATGATTAATATGTCATTGGAATCAATAAAAAGATACAAATGTTAGCATAAGTGGATGTAATAACATGTGACGGTCGGCCGAAGTAAACAATAACGTTTGTTCAAACAATAAAATTTTGTTCATAGTTGTACTAGGGAAAAAAAATATTGAAAGGTGGGTGGATGATCACTTTGGTAGTGATAACACTATACCAGTTTATGTACTTAATTTCAAACTTTTTATCAATTTATTTTGTAATTTTAAATTTTTTAATAAAGTTATTTAGAGAAGCTTAGTTCACTTTCTCACATTTTAGTTTAGATAATATTATTTGTTAAAAAGAAAAAAAAATTATCTTAGGAGCCTAGTCAAGCATAATTTCAAATAAGAACGCTTTTAAAGAAAGAGATTTTTCAGTGAGCTGAAAACGACGCCACAATACAATACAAGTAAACGGTTGTGCCCTTTACTTCCACGCTACTGCCATCGTATCTTTCTCTTCGTTTTTCAGTTCCTTTTCACTGCTTTTAGTCGAATTTTTTCCCCATTGCGTTTGGTTCCCTTCTTTTCCAGCGGTTTGCTCTCTCTTCCTCTCTGCTCTCTTCGCCTCGCTTAGTCTCAGAGTGGATAGTTTTGCGGTGAGTTCTTCTAATCTCGCATCTGGGACCGATTTCTTCTGACTGTATAGATTGTGTTCTCTTGATTTTTAAATGGTAGAAGTTTTTGGGTTCAATTTAAATGGGTTGTTATCAACCATTGAATTGCTTTTTGCGCTTTCTTCTCTGGGATACCTCGACTTCATTGGTTTTTCGCCCTCTATTTTTCTTCGTCTGAGATTTTGTTCTCTGTCGCTCTGCCGATTCATCGGTTTCTTGCTTTGTTCTCGCGTGTTTCGTGTGTTTCCTCGCATAGTTTTTTTGCACGTCTGATGTCGTTTGGTTTTCGATTTCAGAGATTTTTCCCCATTTTTTATTCGATTGGAAATTGGTTTGGACTGATCTAATCCGGCGTTTCCAGGTAAGTATTGCATGTTTATCAGTCTATATGGTTTCGATTTTCCGTGTTTGGTTTCATAGTTTCTCTAAATGTCTGATGCAAATTGGTTTTCAGTTTCAGGAAACGGTGCCTTTGAAAATTTGGGAGTTTCGATTTCGATTTCCCAAGTTCTCTGTGTTGAAGGTATTTGAATGTGTTTTAATTTAGTTTCCTTTGTTTTGCTTGCACCTGAGTTTTTTTTTTTAATTTTGTTTTGCTTATTTGGAAAGATTTTCTGTCATGTTTTTTCTATGTGTTTCGGTTGTGGGTGCGTTCATAGTATTTTTCTTTGTAGAATTTCAGGATTTAACACTGGTGGATTTAATCTTTTTGCTTAAAATTGCTGCTGTTGTGATACAATAAAATTTATATTCACAATTTCCAATTTGACAAAATACTTTATTGCCCTGTGTTATCTTTTGTGATAAACATATGAAGGCACAAAAACAACCACACAAGCCTTACCCATTCAGATAAGCATTTGTATCCATGTTTACACATCTATCTTAAATGCTGTCTTGCAAAATGCAGTGGTTAATTCCAAGTTTACCATCTAATGTGCTATTAGATACTTTTTTTCGTGAAATTGGATACTTTGTTTACAACTTAATAATTTGATTGCCCCTTTAGTTGCATAAACTCAGTAAAATTTTGAGGTTGTAGACACTTAACTGCTGAATCTCTACGGTTTCTTTTGTTTTGTCCAATTGTTGTCATTATTCTAATTGGGTAATTTAAGGTTTTTACTGTGTTTATTTATTTGCTGATAAATTAGTGGGTCTAAACTCTTATTTGAATTGAGGAAAACAGAGAACTATCCAAGCTTCGTAGAGAACATGCACCAGTTTCCTGTCATCCTATATTTATTCCTTCATTTGGGTAACACAGCTTAATGAAATAAAATTTCAAAAATATGTTAATTTCATGCTTTTGATTCGAGTTTAAAACTAACATTTACATTCACAGTGTATCTTTTGCTCAGTGGATAAACAACTGTAAATGAGCTTGACTATGTCAAATTGAATGTTTTAGTGCCCACCACCTATTTGATAAAAGATAGTGTCAAAACTCCTCCAATATGTGTTCAAGCTCTCCCCCTTCTCTTTCTAATTTATATTGTTTCCATACACTGAAACCATAACACTAAATTCCCAATTTCTTGCCCACAATGATGTGTCTTATATCTCATCGAGAAGCTCTCAAGTCCACCGCACTGTCCAACTTTTTTGCCCACTTCAGGTACTGCCTTTAGCATCAAAATCCTATGTATGTCTAACCTTTCGCATTTTCAGTTGTTTTAGTGAAATGATGTGCATGAATTAATACAACATAAACTTGCATAGTTTGTGAATTCAACCATTGAGGTTTCTAACTGGGTTTTTGATTGTTTCACTGAACTTTTATGCGTTTCAAATG